TCTTCTTCTCTCTCTTCCCAGACCCTATTTAAATAAAACACCCAAAGAGAAACAGTAACAGTTATCATGATCCCACCATTCTGGAACTTAAATTGCCACAATAGAACAATATATATTAAATGACAAGCGATAAAATACATAGTATGGTGAAGTTCTGCTATGATTGTCTTGTCTTACAAGCCATTCTTGCATTTTAATTATCATAATTATCAATGCAGTTGAAAACTTTAAATTATCTAGTAATCTGCAATGCTGTTCTTCTAGAATGCTAAAGGAGCAAAGGGAAAGCACCCTTTTTCGGTATGTATCTCTGGCATATTCTATATTCAATATACATTTAGAAATAAACCACTTCATCAGCTAAGAATTCCTCTTTCTCCTTGTTTTGTTTCTGCTCTGCAGCCATGTGAACTCATTAACTATGTGCGCAACCACAACTGTAAGTACTATATTTTGCTTTATAAAATTGCATCACCAATTTACAGACTTATCGGCCACGTACGTGCAAAGAGAGAGTAACTGCTTGACAACTAAACAGCCTTCATTTCAGAAAGAGTGTATTTTGCTCACAGTAGATCCTTTTTATGATGCTGTTTTAGTTGTGTTTGTACCGTGTACAAAATGAATCGCTAAACGTCTATTGATTCTAGTAATCAGTCGGTAACTCTGCATGATCGTTTCTAACAGGCTTCTCTGATTTCCTTTGAAAGTCCACAAATTACAAAACAAACAAAAAACCCTCTTTTGAAATAGAAGACTATTTTAAACGGCAATAGCTGTTATAGGGATCTGTGCTCCCTTTGTTGCGTATATAATAGCTTTCATGGAAATTAGGTGCATGGGGTACTTGGAAATGGCTAGTGTCTATATGAATAATGAAGATGTCCTGACTGTCCTTAAGGGAAGATAAGTGAGTAAATTACATTATTTTCTGTAAATCAATCTTAAATACAGATTAAGGACCTTTACTCATGTGACTAGTCTTGATCTTCAGCTGAGCTTGTCTAAGCAGAGAATATGTGGGACAATATTAGAATGTTTCAATCCAGTGTCTCGAACTGTGAAATTTGCCAAAACAGAAACTCAGGAGTTTGGATAATTTGCTGAGTTACATCTGTTTCTCTAAACTCTGTTAGAAACCAGGGACCATAGAAATCTACAATAAGAACATACAATGCAAATTAAGGGACAGAAGCTGAACTCCCAGTGCACCTAACAACTTCCACTGAAACCAATGAGAGGTTGTGAACATCTGCATTTCCATTCAGTGCAGTAGGAGATGCGGATGATCAGCACTTCTGAAATTTAGGCCATTACCGTAAAGATACTTATGGTGCGCATCGCTGGATTACTTTCCTTTTAACCACTAAAACTGCAAATTATGTCACTTACCTATGTGAGGGCTGCAGGGTAACTTTTGTCATGTGAGCCATCCAATTGACTTTAGAACCACAGAGGTAAAACTTTTATTCGTGTTTGTGAGAATTGCAGGATGATTTGGCCTTAAAACTTCATTCATCCTCCTCAATATCTGATGGAGTACATAGCATCTGAGGCAACTTTGCAAACAAATATACTTGGAGATGATCATCAGGTCCCTTGGGAAAACCTGCCCTATTGTTTTCTTCTCCTCTCACTCCCAGAAGTTCTCATTGACCTTCTCAGAGTGCTACTTTTATACTCACAATTTTCAAGGCCCTGCATTGAGTCCTTCACTGTGGGATAAAGGGGATTGGATGTGATCAGAAAGGGGCCATCAGTGCTTCTCTTTAACTGGTCAGAGTGATTGATATGTGTTGTGATATCCCTAAGGCCCTGAAATTGCTGCGTCCACAGCAGGAGTGAGAAACCAGTATTCTTCCTTTAATCAAGAATTTCTTCACATCGAATGCCAGCCTTGACAACTATTCACACTTAAGAGTTTGTTGTCTTCACAGTCTGCATATATTTGCAGTTTCAGATGTATTGGAGTTGGTAGCATCATGCACTGAACCAAAAAGAAGGATATATGCTTCTTTTAGTTTAATTTCCACAAATCTTTTAAGTTTATGGCCCAGTGTATCACTGATTCCCATTGTATGAACGTTTTCAGCTTATATTTTCTTGGTCTTTTCTTACATGTTTCTGACTTGCTTCTTGGTATGTTAGCATCCTCAATCCTTTGCATCATTCGTTTTTGATATTGTTAAAGCCTTATATAGCTAATTTCCTGGAATGTTTCTATTACCAGTTCCAAAGTGGCATGTAGTCTTCTTTTGTATCTTTTCTTTCTCTTGTATCTTTCTGTCATATTGTTATCCTGTGTTGTTCTCTCTCCTTTTTTTTTCTTTTTCTAATCTCTGACAGGGACACAGACAGGGCTACACTCCCTGACCCTACACATTCCAATGGTGCCTCACTTCCTCAAACTGCTGATGAATTTTGTTCTCTGACTCTGTGACATACCCGGGTTACAATCCAGATTGAGTAGCTGTGTCACCCCTGCCCTCTAACCTGGAGTGACATTTGCAATGTTTTAGTGCTGTAGCCTCCAGCCTGGACTGCTCACAAACAGACTCCAGCATGCAAACCACTCCCAGCTCTGTGTGTGTGTGTGCTGTAGCCAGCCAGCCACACCTTGGCTCTTACCAGCCTGGGTTATACTTCAGGGTGACCCCAACACCCCCCAGTCTTATATTTCCCCCCAGAAATGTATATCTTGTACTGCACAGTCCTCTCCTGCACAATCCAAATTTATATATAGTCCGTTATTGCTTTAATACAAATAATATACCCAAATGGCATTTCTCAGACACTTCAATGTAAAACACTGGATTAAATAAAACAATAAAACAAATTTATTAACTACAAAGAGAGAGACTTTAAGTGAGTCCAAGTAATGAGGCATAAAAGTCAGAAATGTTTATAAGAAAATAAAGTTCAAATGCTACTGGTGCCTAACTTAGCAAACTGTAACAGATTCAAGCAAAGTTTCTCATCACATGCTTTCAGCATAGGTGTGCGCATGTGGTGTGCCGGGTGTGCCCGGGCACACCCTAATGCAAGGGTGGGCAAATGGCCCCTCTCTCCAGGCGCGGCAAGCCGTGGGGTCTGCGCTCCCCGGCCGGAGCGCCCGGCCGAGCGCAGCAAGCTGCCGGCCCCTCCCCCGCCTTTCTCCCTCCCCATGAGTCCTGCCGCCGCGCATGCAGCGCTCTGGGGGCCGTGGCTGCACGCTCCCGTGGGGCAGGGTTTGGCTCCACAGGGAGGCAGACACCTCCCCCCTCTCCTGGAGCCATGCTGCCCCATGTGCAGTGCTCTGGGGGCCAGGGCTGCACATGCTCCTGCGTGGCAGCGTTTGGCCCTGCGGGGAGGCAGACACCCTCCCCCCTCTCCTGGAGCCCTGCCGCCACATGCAGCGCTCTGAGGGCCGGGGCTGCATGCTCCCGCGGGGCAGCATTTGACTCTGCAGGGAGGCAGACACCCTCCCCTGGAGCCCTGCCGCCACGTGTGCAGTGCTCTGGGGCCGGGGCTGCACGCACTCCCGCTGGGCAGCGTTTGGCTCCGCAAGGAGGCTAGGAACCTCATCTCATGCCATGGTAAGGAGTCCGGGGCCAGGGGGGGTTGGATAAGGGGTGGGGGGAGTCAGGGGACAGAGAGCAGGGTGGGTTGGATGGGGGTGGGATCCCGGGCGGGGGTGTTA